CGCTTTCCATCACCCCGCCCCATTCTCCCTCCTTCCATCACCCCGCCCCATTCTCCCTCCTTCCATCACCCTGCCTCATTCTCCCTCTTTCCATCACCCCGCCCCATTCTCCCACTTTCCATCACCCCGCCCCATTCTCCCTCCTTTCATCAACCCGCCCCATTCTCCCGCTTTCCATCACCCCGCCCCATTCTCCCGCTTTCCATCACCCCGCCCCATTCTCTCCCTTTCCATCACCCCGCCCCATTCTCCCGCTTTCCATCACCCCGCCCCATTCTCCCTCCTTCCATCACCCCGCCCCATTCTCCCTCCTTCCATCACCCCGCCCCATTCTCCCGCTTTCCATCACCCCGCCCTATTCTTCCGCTTTCCATCACCCCGCCCCATTCTCCCGCTTTCCATCACCCCGCCCCATTCTCCCGATTTCCATCACCCGCAAGGGCATGGAAGGAAAAGCGGGTACTACCCGAACCGGCTCACGCATCATTTTCTTTGTAGAAGTAGAGTGAATACCACATATGTTTCGCATTTCCTTTACATTATACCATTCCCCACCCCTCTACCAGGTTCTAACCTTTTGGATCTATGTAATTCGCCAAATATAGGCATTCCAGTCGTGCATGGTACCTGCACTACAGGCACGCATACCGGCCAACTTGACCAGCGCATTACGTATGTTTGTAGAGATGCGGTTAGTACCATTTTCTTGTCAGTCCACTAGATTAGGCCATCTACTTTAACAACACTAGGTTCTAACCTTTTAGATCCACATAATTTGCAAGATTTCAGAGCTCCAGCTCCGCCTTGTACCTGACCACAAGCGTGCATAGTACCAGAACCGGCTCACGCATCATTTTCTTTGTAGAAGTAGAGTGAATACCACATATGTTTCGCTTTTACTTTACATTATACCATCCCCCACCCCTCTACCAGGTTCTTACCTTTTGAATCTATTTAATTTGCCAAATAAAGGCATTCCAGTCGTGCATGGTACCTGCACTACAGGCACGCATACCGACCAACTTGACCAGCGCATTACGTATGTTTGTAGAGATGCGGTTAGTACCATTTTCTTGTCAGTCCACTAGATTAGGCCATCTACTTTAACAACCCTATGTTCTAACCTTTTAGATCCAGATAATTTGCAAGATTTCAGAGCTCCAGCTCCGCCTTGTACCTGCACACAAGCGTGCATATTACCCGAACCGGCTCACGCATCATTTTCTTTGTAGAAGTAGAGTGAATACCACATATGTCTCGCTTTTCCTTTACATTATACCATTCCCCACCCCTCTACCAGGTTCTAACCTTTTGAATCTATGTAATTCGCCAAATATAGGCATTCCAGTCGTGCATGGTACCTGCACTACAGGCACGCATACCGACCAACTTGACCAGCGCATTACGTATGTTTGTAGAGATGCAGTTAGTACCATTTTCTTGTCAGCCACTAGATTAGGCCATCTACTTTAACAACACTAGGTTCTAACCTTTTAGATCCATATAACTTGCAAGATTATAGAAATCCAGCTCCGCCTTGTACCTGCACACAAGCGTGCATAGTACCAGAACCGGCTCACGCATCATTTTCTTTGTAGAAGTAGAGTGAATACCACATATGTTTCGCTTTTCCTTTACATTATACCATTCCCCACCCCTCTACCAGGTTCTAACCTTTTGAATCTATGTAATTTTCCAAATATAGGCATTCCAGTCGTGCATGGTACCTGCACTACAGGCACGCATACCGACCAACTTGACCAGCGCATTACGCATGTTTGTAGGGATGCGGTTAGTACCATTTTCTTGTCAGTCCACTAGAGTAGGTCATCTATTTTAACAACACTAGGTTCTAACCTTTTAGATCCACATAATTTGCAAGATTTCAGAGCTCCAGCTCCGCCTTGTACCTGCACACAAGCGTGCATATTACCCGAATCGGCTCATGTCAACGTGAATGTTGTTTGGCCCCGTCCTCGCTTGGGCGGAGCCGACCTCGTGGTCGGATGTGCGGGGGTTGCAGCCGACCTGCAGCAGTGGGCACGGGGGTTACTGCAAGGGCGCCGAGCTGGAGGGCGCCTGACTGGAGGGCGACGAGCAGGAGGACGCCGCCCTGGACGCCTGACTGGCGTCCTGGACGCCTGGACGGCGTCCTGGGAAGCTGGACGCCGACCTGGGCGTTGGTACGACTACCCAGGCGCTTGGTCGACGTCGTGGGCGTCTGGCCGGCGTCCTGGGAGCCTGGACGCCGACCTGGGCGTCTGCTCGGCTTCCTGGACGTCTGGACGCCGGCCTGGGCGTCCGGATGGCGACCTGGGCGCTGGACGCCGACCAGGACGTCTAGTTGGCGTCTTGGGCGCTTGGACACCGACCTAGGCGTCAGGACGCCGACTTGGGTTGCTGGGACACTTCTTCTGGGGACGCCGGGCATGTGTGGCCGGCTACGGACTGGGCAGGTCGACCAGGCGTGGTTGCCCGGTCGACCGGGATACCCGGGCGACGTGTCCGAGTGTCGTCGGGGTGGAGTCTGCGAAGCCGACCTCGGGGGTGGTATCCCGAGGTCGACGTGGCTGGTGGGCGCAGTCGCTGGCGTGGAGTCTGCCAGGCGTCTGCGCTGTGCTCGTGACAAGGTGTGGAGCGCCAACCAGCTGCACGGACCTGCGAAGCAGGTGCACCGCTGTCCTGCGGGTGCAACGCTGTGCAGCCGACTTGCTGCAGCGTTGGCACGCCGTGGACTTGCAACGTTGGTGAACCTCTACTCTGCGTCGCTGGAGCGCGGTCGACCATGCTGCGCTTGAGGTCGACCAACAGCCTAGCCTAGCTCTGATGTAGTCTGTTGTGCCAATGTTGTTGCAACTATAGTTCTGAACTTTTCCTAGTGGAACCATTGTCAACTTTCCCCGTGAACTTGCAAGTGTGTGCGCACAAGGAAATGACTAAGGAACTAACGAACGCAGAGATCACACGAGCACCCATGCCTAGCCCGTAGCCTAGCTCCCGTTGCAGCAGTTATCTCCGCAGTTCACGAATCATTTTCTTTGTAGAAGTAGAGTGAATACCACATATGTCGCTTTTCCTTTACATTATACCATTCCCCACCCCTCTACCAGGTTCTAACCTTTTGGATCTATGTAATTCGCCAAATATAGGCATTCCACTCGTGCATGGTACCTGCACTACAGGCACGCATACCGACCAACTTGACCAGCGCATTACGTATGTTTGTAGAGATGCGGTTAGTACCATTTTCTTGTCAGTCCACTAGATTAGGCCATCTACATTAATAACACTAGGTTCTAACCTTTTAGATCCACATAATTTGCAAGATTTCAGAGTTCCAGCTCCGCCTTGTACCTGCACACAAGCGTGCATACTGACCAAACTGACCCACGCATCATCCTCTCTGTATAGATATAGTGAATACCACATATGTTCCGCATTTCCTTTACATTATACCATTCCCCACCCCTCCACAAGGTTCTAACCTTTTGGATCTATGTAATTTGCCAAATATAGGCATTTCTAGTCGTACATGGTACCTGCACAATAGGCACGCATACCGACCAAACTGACCAGCGCATTACGTATGTTTATAAAGATGCAGTTAGTTCCATTTTCTTACCAGTTCACTAGATTAGGACATCTATTTTAACAATACCAGGTTCTATCCTTTTAGATCTACATAATTTGCAATATTTCAGAGCTCCAGCTCCGCCTTGTACCTGCACACAAGCGTGCATACTGACCGAACTGACCCACGCATCATTCTCTCTGTATAGATACAGTGAATACCGCATATGTTTCGCATTTCCTTTACATTATACCATTCCCCACCCCTCTACCAGGTTCTAACCTTTTGGATCTATGTAATTTGCCAAATATAGGCATTCCAGTCGTGCATGGTAACTGCACTACAGGCACGTATACTGACCAAACTGACCAGCGCATTACGTATGTTTATAGAGATGCTGTTAGTACCATGTTCTTGCTAGTCCACTAGATTAGGACATCTACTTTAACAATACTAGGTTCTAACATTTTAGATCCACATATTTTAAGATATTTCAGAGCTCCTGCTCCGCCTTGTACCTGCACACAAACGTGCATACTACCCGAACTGACCCACGTATCATTTTCTCTGTATAAATACAGTGAATACCACATATGTTTCGCTCTTCCTTTACAGTTTACCATTCTCCACCCCTCTAATAAGTTCTAACCTTTTGGATCTATGTAATTCGCCAAAAATAGGCATTCTAGTCGTGCATGGTACCGGCACTACAGGCGCGCATACCGACCAACTTGACCAGCGCATTTCGTATGTTTGTAGAGATGCGGTTAGTACCATTTTCTTGTTAGTCCACTAGATTAGGCCATCTACTTTAACAACACTAGGCTATAACCTTTTAGATCCACATAATTTGCAATATTTCAGAGCTCCAGCTCCACCTTGTACCTGCACACAAACGTGCATACTACTCGAACCGACCCACGCATCATTCTCTCTGTATAAATACATTGAATACCACATATGTTTCGCATTTCCTTTACAGTATACCATTCCACACCCCTCTAATAGGCTCTAACCTTTTGGATCTATGTAATTCGCCAAATATAGGCATTCTAGTCGTGCATGGTACCTGCACTACAGGCGCGCATACCGACCAACTTGACCAGCTCATTACGTATGTTTGTAGAGATGCTGTTAGTACCATTTTCTTGTCAGTCAACTAGATTAGGCCATCTACTTTAACAACACTAGGTTTTAACCTTTTAGATCCACATAATTTGCAAGATTTCAGAGCTCCAGCTCCGCCTTGTACCTGCACACAAGCGTGCATACTACCCAAACCGGCTCACGCATCATTTTCTCTGTATAAGTAGAGTGAATGCCACATATGTTTCGCTTTTCCTTTACATTATACCATTCCCCACCCCTCTACCAGGTTCTAACCTTTTGGATCTATCTAATTTCCCAAAAATAGGCATTTCAGTCGTGCATGGTACCTGCACTACAGGCGCGCATACCGACCAACTTGACCAGCGCATTACGTATGTTTGTAGAGATGCTGTTAGTACCATTTTCTTGTCAGTCAACTAGATTAGGCCATCTACTTTAACAACACTAGGTTTTAACCTTTTAGATCCACATAATTTGCAAGATTTCAGAGCTCCAGCTCCGCCTTGTACCTGCACACAAGCGTGCATACTACCCAAACCGGCTCACGCATCATTTTCTCTGTATAAGTAGAGTGAATGCCACATATGTTTCGCTTTTCCTTTACATTATACCATTCCCCACCCCTCTACCAGGTTCTAACCTTTTGGATCTATGTAATTCCCCATTCTCCCTGTTTCCATCAACCCGCCCAATTCTCCCTCTTTCCATCACCCCGCCCCATTCTCCCTCTTTCCATCATCCAGCCCCATTCTCCCTCTTTCCATCACCCCGCCCCATTCTCCCTCTTTCCATCACCCACCCCATTCTCCCGCTTTCCATCACCCCGCCCCATTCTCCCTCTTTCCATCACCCTGCCCCATTCTCCCTCTTTCCATCACCCCGCCCCATTCTCCCGCTTTCCATCACCCCGCCCAATTCCCCCGTTTTTTATCACCCAGCCTCATTCTCCCTCTTTCCATCACCCAGCCCCATCCTCCCTCTTTCCACCCCGCCCCATTCTCCCGCTTTCCATCTCCCCGCCCCATTCTCCCTCATTCCATCACCTCGCCCCATTCTCCTGCTTTCCATCACTCCGCCCCGTCCCTCTTTCCATCACCCCGCCCCATCCATCACCCCGCACCATTCTCCCTCTTGCCATCACCCCGCCCCATTCTCCCTCTTTCCATCACCCCGCCCCATTCTCCCTCTTTCCATCACCCCGCCCCATTCTCCCGCTTTCCATCACCCCGCCCCATTTTCCCGCTTTCCATCACCCCACCCCATTCTCTTGCTTTCCATCACCCGCCCCATTCTCTCGCTTTCCATCACCCGGTCCCATTCTCCCTCTTTCCATCACTCCGCCCTATTCTCCCTCTTTCCATCACCCAGCCCATTTCTCACTCTTTCCATCACCCCGCCCCGTTCCCCCGCTTTCCATCACCCCGCCGCGATCTCCCGCTTTCCATCACCCCGCCCCATTCTCCCTCTTTACATCACCCCGCCCCATTCTCCCTCTTTCCATCACCCAGCCCCATTCTCCCGCTTTCCATCACACCGCCCCATTCTCCGTCTTTCCATAACCCCGCCCCAATCTCCCACTTTCCATCACCCCGCTCCATTCTCCCTCTTTCCATCACCCCGCCCCATTCTCCCGCTTTCCATCACCCCGCCCCATTCTCCCTCTTTCCATCACCCCGCCCCATTCTCCCGCTTTCCATCACCCTGCCCCATTCTCCCGCTTTCCATCACCCCGCCTCATTGTCCCTCTTTCCATCGCCCCGCCCCATTCTCCCGCTTTCCATCACCCCGCCCCATTCTCCCTCTTTCCATCACACCGCCCCATTCTCCTGCTTTCCATCACCCCGCCCCGTTCTCCCGCTTTCCATCACCCCGCCCCATTCTCTCGCTTTCCATCACCCCGCCCCATTCGCCCACTTTCCATCACCCAGCCCCATTCTCCATTCGGGCGCAAGCGAATCGGGCGCAAGCGAGTCGGGCGTAAGCGAATCGGGCGCAAGCGAATCGGGCGCATGGGAATCGGGCGCAAGGGAATCGGGCGCAAGGGAATCGGGCGCAAGGGAATTGGGCGATCGGGCGCAAGCGAATCGGGCGCAAGCGAGTCGGGCGCAAGCGAGTCGGGCGCAAGCGAATCGGGCGCAAGGGAGTCGGGCGCAAGGGAGTCGGGCGCAAGCGAATCGGGCGCAAGCGAATCGGGCGCAAGCGAATCGGGCGCAAGGGAATTGGGCGCAAGCAAATCGAGCGCAAGCGAATCAGGCGCAAGCGAATCGGGCGCAAGCGAATCGGGCGCAAGGGAATCGGGCGCAAGCGAATAGGGCGCAAGGGAATCGGGCGCAAGCGAATCGGGCGCAAGCGAATCGGGCGCAAGGGAATTGGGCGCAAGCGAATCGGGCGCAAGCGAATCGGGCGCAAGGGAGTCGGGCGCAAGCGAATCGGGCGCAAGAGAATCGGGCGCAAGGGAGTCGGGCGCAAGGGAATCGGGCGAAAGGGATACGGGCGCAAGGGAATCGGGCGCAAGGGAATCGGGCGCAAGCGAATCGGGCGCAAGCGAATCGGGCGCAAGGGAGTCGGGCGCAAGGGAATCGGGCGCAAGCGAATCGGGCGCAAGCGAATCGGGCGCAAGCGAATCGGGCGCAAGCGAGTCGGAGGCAAGGGAATCGGGCGCAAGGGAATCGGGCGCAAGGAAATCGGGCGCAAGGGAATCGGACGCAAGCGAATCAGGCGCAAGGGAATCCGGCGCAAGCGAATCGGGCGCAAGCGAATCGGGCGCAAGGGAATCGGGCGCAAGCAAATTGGGCGCAAGGGAATCGGGCGCAATGGAATCGGGCGCAAGCGAATCGGGCGCAAGGGAATCGGGCGCAAGCGAATCGGGCGCAAGCGAATCGGGCGCAAGCGAATCGGGCGCAAGGGAATCGGGCGCAAGGGAATCGGGCGCAAGCGAATCGGGCGCAAGCGAATCGGGCGCAAGGGAATTGGGCGCAAGCGAATCGGGCGCAAGCGAATCGGGCGCAAGGGAGTCGGGCGCAAGCGAATCGGGCGCAAGCGAATCGGGCGCAAGCGAATCGGGCGCAAGGGAATCGGGCGCAAGCGAATCGGGCGCAAGGGAGTCGGGCGCAAGCGAGTCGGGCGAAAGGGATACGGGCGCAAGGGAATCGGGCGCAAGGGAATCGGGCGCAAGCGAATCGGGCGCAAGCGAATCGGGCGCAAGGGAGTCGGGCGCAAGGGAATCGGGCGCAAGCGAATCGGGCGCAAGCGAATCGGGCGCAAGGGAATCGGGCGAAAGGGATTCGGGCGCAAGGGAATCGGGCGCAAGCAAGTCGGGCGCAAGCGAGTCGGGCGCAAGCGAATCGGGCGCAAGCGAATCGGGCGCAAGCGAATCGGGCGCAAGCGAGTCGGAGGCAAGGGAATCGGGCGCAAGGGAATCGGGCGCAAGGAAATCGGGCGCAAGGGAATCGGACGCAAGCGAATCGGGCGCAAGGGAATCGGGCGCAAGCGAATCGGGCGCAAGCGAATCGGGCGCAAGGGAATCGGGCGCAAGCGAATAGGGCGCAGGGGAATCGGACGCAAGCGAATCGGGCGCAAGGGAATCGGGCGCAAGCGAATCGGGCGCAAGGGAATCGGGCGCAAGGGAATCGGGCGCAAGCGAATCGGGCGAAAGGGAATCGGGCGCAAGCGAATAGGGCGCAAGGGAATCGGACGCAAGCGAATCGGGCGCAAGGGAATCGGGCGCAAGCGAATCGGGCGCAAGGGAATCGGGCGCAAGGGAATCGGGCGCAAGCGAATCGGGCGCAAGCGAATCGGGCGCAAGGGAATCGGGCGCAAGCGAATCGGGCGCAAGCGAATCGGGCGCAAGGGAATCGGGCGCAAGCGAATCGGGCGCAAGCGAATCGGGCGCAAGCGAATCGGGCGCAAGGGAATCGGGCGCAAGCGAATCGGGCGCAAGCGAATCGGGCGCAAGGGAATCGGGCGCAAGGGAATCGGGCGCAAGCGAATTGGGCGCAAGGGAATCGGGCGAAAGGGATTCGGGCGCAAGGGAATCGGGCGCAAGCAAGTCGGGCGCAAGCGAGTCGGGCGCAAGCGAATCGGGCGCAAGCGAATCGGGCGCAAGCGAATCGGGCGCAAGCGAATCGGGCGCAAGCGAGTCGGAGGCAAGGGAATCGGGCGCAAGGGAATCGGGCGCAAGGAAATCGGGCGCAAGGGAATCGGACGCAAGCGAATCGGGCGCAAGGGAATCGGGCGCAAGCGAATCGGGCGCAAGCGAATCGGGCGCAAGGGAATCGGGCGCAAGCGAATAGGGCGCAAGGGAATCGGGCGCAAGCGAATCGGGCGCAAGGGAATTGGGCGCAAGCGAATCGGGCGCAAGCGAATCGGGCGCAAGGGAGTCGGGCGCAAGCGAATCGGGCGCAAGAGAATCAGGCGCAAGGGAGTCGGGCGCAAGGGAATAGGGCGAAAGGGATACGGGCGCAAGGGAATCGGGCGCAAGGGAATCGGGCGCAAGCGAATCGGGCGCAAGCGAATCGGGCGCAAGGGAGTCGGGCGCAAGGGAATCGGGCGCAAGTGAATTGGGCGCAAGCGAATCGGGCGCAAGCGAATCGGGCGCAAGCGAGTCGGAGGCAAGGGAATCGGGCGCAAGGGAATCGGGCGCAAGGAAATCGGGCGCAAGGGAATCGGTCGCAAGCGAATCGGGCGCAAGGGAATCAGGCGCAAGCGAATCGGGCGCAAGGGAATCGGGCGCAAGGGAATCGGGCGCAAGCGAATTGGGCGCAAGGGAATCGGGCGCAAGGGAATCGGGCGCAAGCGAATCGGGCGCAAGGGAATCGGGCGCAAGCGAATCGGGCACAAGCGAATCGGGCGCAAGCGAATCGGGCGGAAGGGAATCGGGCGCAAGCGAATCGGGCGCAAGGGAGTCGGGCGCAAGCGAGTCGGGCGCGCAAGCGAATCGGGCGCAAGCGAGTCGGGCGCAAGGGAATCGGGCGCAAGGGAATCGGGCGCAAGCGAATCGGGCACAAGAGAATCGGGCGCAAGGGAATCGGGCGCAAGGGAATCGGGCGCAAGCGAATCGGGCGCAAGCGAATCGGGCGCAAGGGAATTGGGCGCAAGGGAATCGGGCGCAAGCGAATCGGGCGCAAGGGAGTCGGGCGCAAGCGAATCGGGCGCAAGAGAATCGGGCGCAAGGGAGTCGGGCGCAAGGGAATAGGGCGAAAGGGATACGGGCGCAAGGGAATCGGGCGCAAGGGAATCGGGCGCAAGCGAATCGGGCGCAAGCGAATCGGGCGCAAGGGAGTCGGGCGCAAGGGAATCGGGCGCAAGTGAATCGGGCGCAAGCGAATCGGGCGCAAGCGAATCGGGCGCAAGCGAGTCGGAGGCAAGGGAATCGGGCGCAAGGGAATCGGGCGCAAGGAAATCGGGTGCAAGGGAATCGGTCGCAAGCGAATCGGGCGCAAGGGAATCAGGCGCAAGCGAATCGGGCGCAAGCGAATCGGGCGCAAGGGAATCGGGCGCAAGCGAATTGGGCGCAAGGGAATCGGGCGCAAGTGAATCGGGCGCAAGCGAATCGGGCGCAAGGGAATCGGGCGCAAGCGAATCGGGCGCAAGCGAATCGGGCGCAAGCGAATCGGGCGGAAGGGAATCGGGCGCAAGCGAATCGGGCGCAAGGGAGTCGGGCGCAAGCGAGTCGGGCGCGCAAGCGAATCGGGCGCAAGCGAGTCGGGCGCAAGGGAATCGGGCGCAAGGGAATCGGGCGCAAGCGAATCGGGCACAAGAGAATCGGGCGCAAGGGAATCGGGCGCAAGGGAATCGGGCGCAAGCGAATCGGGCGCAAGCGAATCGGGCGCAAGGGAATTGGGCGCAAGGGAATCGGGCGCAAGCGAATCGGGCGCAAGGGAGTCGGGCGCAAGCGAATCGTGTCAGAACATTGTAGCTTATGCTGTTATGTAGGCTATAGTGGGGTATCCCATAGGGGGTACAACCAATTAGGGTTTCATATTTGTACTCACTTCATTTCATAGTTCATCCATTCTCGTTCTCATTTTCACATGGAATCAGAGCAGGTCCCCTCCTAGGGACTGTTCCTTGGGCCCACCGAAGCGCGCCTCGAGTCGCGCCTGCCTTTTTTTTTTAGCGGCCCGTCGAGTCGCACCTAGCGGCCCGTCGCGCCGCCCTTACGGTCGCGTCGAGCCGCCCTAGCGGCTGCGGCGCGCCGCCCTTTTCCCGGCCCGTCGCCGCCCTTACCCGCGGCTTTGCGCCGCCCTCACCGGCGGCTTCGCGCCGCCCCTACCTGCGGCTTCGCGCCGCCCAGGCCCGTCGCCGCCCTTCCCGCGGCTTCGCGCCGCCTCTACCTGCGGCTTCGAGCCGCCCCGGCCCGTCGCCGCCCTTACCTGCGGCTTCGCGCCGCCTACGGCCCGTCGCCGCCCTTTTCTGCGGCCCCGCCGCCTCTCTCGTTGCGGCCCCGCCGCCCGTCTTCGCGGCCCCGCCGCCATCTCTCGCTGCGGCCCCGCCGCCACTCACTGCGGCCCCGCCACCCGACTTCGCGGCCCCGCCGCCTCTCTCGCTGCGGCCCCGCCGCCTCTCACTGCGGCCCCGCCGCCCTACTCAGCGGCCCCGCCGCCCGACTTCGCGGCCCCGCCGCTTCTCTCGCTGCGGCCCCGCCGCCTCTCTCACTGCGGCCCCGCCGCCTCTCACTGCGGCCCCGCCGCCCTACTCAGCGGCCCCGCCGCCCGACTTCGCGGCCCCGCCGCTTCTCTCGCTGCGGCCCCGCCGCCTCTCTCGTTGCGGCCCCGCCGCCCTTCACTGCGGCCCTGCCGCTTCTCTGCAGCGGCCCCGCCGCCCGTCTTCGCGGCCCCGCCGCCTCACTACCCAGCGGCCCCGCCGTCCTTCTTCAGCGGCCCCGCCGCCCTACGTCAGCGGCCCAGCCGAGCCGCCCAACAGCAGCGCAGCCGAGCCGCCCAGCAGCAGAGCAGCCGAGCCGCCCCGCTGCCGAGCCGC